GCGGGGAGGGAGAGGGAGGGGTGGCCGCTTTATGGGCATCGGTATAGGTTCTTTTTGAAGGATGCTGTGGAGGATGTGCCGGAGTATGTCGTGCAGTGGGGGCCGTTTGTCCGGTGCGTACACCCACCTTCCCACTTTTCATATACTCCCCCGAGGCTAATAAGGGATGGTGTGGTTGTAGGCTTGCGGCGGAGTACGGCCTGCACCCGATCTACAAGCGCGAGTTCCACGACGTGTTTGACGAGTTTAGGGAGCACGCCGAGTTCGAGCCGCTGTTGCAGCGGATGAAGGTCGTCGATCAGAATGGGGAGACGGATATGGATGAGGATCAGTGGGAGGCGGCGAGTGCGTTGCTTCTTCCTTCACGGTTTCCATTGAGCGACGGTGTACTGACGAGTGAATTGTAGATATCTATGTGATGTTCGCGCTGGAGAAACGCGAGGGCGGGACGCGCTCTTGATGGGCGTGTTCATCTCGCTATCTCACCTGCTGCACGGACTGCTTCCTTCTTTTCTTTCCCGTTTTCTTCAACTTCAAGTCTCAATCATCTAGTACTCGTCTCTTGCTCTATCTGTCCCATGAATGAAAGTGTCAACGCAGTTCTGTATATTGTACTCCTCTCCTTTTCCATACGCTTTCTGATACTATGTTAAGTTTTAATCTTGCGTCGGTTGTTATGATATATGGTTTATTTCGTATGAGGGTCGGACGGTGTGGCGACGGTGCGGCGCGATGTAGTGAGATGGTATGAATTGCTTCCATCGGCCTGATGGTCTAGTAGTATGATTCCTTCTTAGGGCTTCAACGAGCAATATGGAGGAGGTCCCGGGTTCAATTCCCGGTCAGGCCCTACTCTTCCCAGACGTCTATATTTTTGCCGTTATTCACTATGAACACCCAATGCAGCACGACGATGGGTATGTGTCCAGTATATAAGAGAGCACTGCCATCATGCGCATTGTTTGCCATAGATGCGTGGCTCACAGTATGGGACCGGATTCTCACAATGTAACGATCGCTCGGCGGTACTGTATGTAAATTTCGCTGCGAGAATTTACCGCTGCGTATTTTACTGGGATGAAGTACTTAGCTCGGCTAGGTTTCACCAGACTTGCCGCGCATGGTGTTTCACTGTACGGGTATTGTACGTGATTGTGGAGGGACACGCAAGCCGTCTTCAGTGTACCCTTGGAGATATATCACTTGAGGCACCGGTCACCAGGAACACGGTGAATTTCATCCAGAACATGGTAAACCAGCCGTACTTTACAGACCTTTCTTAACAATGTCGTGAACTCACCACTGGTAAACAGTGACTCATGGACAAATGCTTCTTTCTACATAATTTACTCATGGTTTTACCATGTTCTGGATCGGCGGAGAAGTGAGGCCTGCCTCCAGTGATGATAGTCGCCTTGAGAAAGCTTGAAAAGAATCAACGATCACGACTGCGGAACGGCCAATCTTGCCCTTTGTGGCTTGGAGTTCGAACCTGCTCGAACGCCCACTATGAGGTTTGCGAGGTTTGCCAGTATGCATGACGGCTTGCTTCCCACCACCATTGTGCGTCGAATAGACTGCGCCAGGACGCCTGCGTCGAACCTTCCCTTTCCTCGATGGCGACATCCGACACGCCCGTTGCATCTCGGAACCTTCAGAAAGAGCCTTCGCCGCCCGTAAACATCCAGAATGCCCGTGTCGCCAACGCTGCTATACCCATCCTCAATCTTCCCGCCGAGCTTCTAGGAGAGATATCTCTTCTTGCGATACTGGAATACATACGCGAAGACGAGGGGTACAGGAACTCCACTGCGCTCACCTTTGCCGCTGTATGCCATCATTGGCGCGCAGTAGCACTCGCTCAACCTCAACTATGGGCGCAAGTCCCTCTGAGCGGGATGTTACATCGCACCCGACTTTTCCTGGCACGCTCGCGCTCTGCACTTCTCACGCTCCATATGTTTCGGCTGGACGCACATGGACGTTCGTGCGTAAAGGAGTGGTACCAGGGTCTAGCGGCTCTGCTACGCGAGCCCTCCGTATCGACGCGCGTACAGATGGTCCTCTTCAGGAACCAGCAGTGCTCCAGCCATGGTCGACGATACTCTTCGAGCGACGTCGACTGCGTCATGATCAGCAGATACCTTCTGCCCCTGCTCAACGACGTCGACTTTCCGTCACTGTGTCACGCTATTCTTCTAGAAGAACCCGACCCGCTATCCGGAGAACCAGACGGTGGAACAGATATCGAACCCGCTTTCTTCAACCGTTGTTCGGGATTGCGTACTTTGCGATTGCTTTGCTGTCGTTTACGCATTCCTCAGGCATATTCCGCTCTGCCCGCTCTCAGACGCCTAGAGATTGTTGGCCAGAGCCCGTCGGTCCACTACGAGGACATGCTAGCCGTACTGAAGATGATACCCCAATTGGGTGCCCTCCACGTAGGCTGTATGGAAAGCGACGAGGACTTCGATTTTGAATGGACGCCTGACCCCGATACGACGCATTTCCTACCCTCAGGCGAACTCGTCCCCCTACCAAACTTATACGAGATCCGCGTTCAGTCGGAGGCGACCACCATCATCGCTTTCCTCTCCCGATTATCCTACTCGTCGAATGCTCGCGTTCATGTCGAAGCCAGCCTCGGAATTGACGACGAGGATGAGGAAGGAGAGGGGTACAGAGCTATCATACAACACTTGCTCCCACTGGACTATGCCAAGCAGAACGCACTGCCTAATTTCGTACTCTCACTCGGTGCAGAGAGCGTGGCCATATCCAGCCTCATGGAGGAGTGTCCCGAGCTTTCAGAACTTGACGCAAGCGCCAAGGAGCTCGACGCCAGGAGAACCGCGCTCATGGACATCGTGCGACGGCGGAAGCTCTGGGAGTACAAGACCAGCGCCACGAAGCCATCTCCGTCGGTTCTCCAGCTTGGCGATCATCATCACCATCCACCTCGCCATTTCACCTTGAGTATGCTGGTGGATTGGGAGCAAACGCCGTTCGTCCAAAATGTCATCGGCTCCGAGATTCCGAATGTCTCCAACCTGAGGCTTGTGGTACAAACCGAGCACCGAGAAGGGGATGAGTCGTCCAGCGAATACGAGTCGGACCCGTACGACTACGACTTCGATCCTGATTACCGCGCTTGGAAAGCCGCCAAGAAGAACAAGTGGAGAAAGCGCAATGCCAAGTGGGGTGCAATCGGGGATACACTACTACCCAAGTCTTGGGGGCCCGTTGAGTATCTGCAGATTGAAGAATATGCGATACCTGGCTTTGTGAAGGCGCTCTTGGCCATGCCGGACGATCCAGCAAGCGTGTTGCCGATCATACGCGACTTGCGAGCTTTGGACATTCGCGGTGTACGCCACCTCGATTCGCCCCACACCGAGCTCATGGAAGGTCTTCAACGACGCACGAAGGTGCTTGGTCGGTTGGATCATCTGTGTATGGAAGACCCGGACGTGTGGCGGGGGGAACCGGATCCTTCACATGTATTCGAATTCTATGTCGAAGATCTTGAACCTCTCGTTCAGCCGGGTGGTCTGCGCATTCGGACGTTGCATGACGCTCTTATGGAGCAAGAACTAGACTGGGAAGCCAGCGCTGAGTATCCGAAGTGAGTTTTACGCTCCGTCCTTCACCCACGCAATGGACTAATATACACACCCAGGCCTCGGCACTCGAGCTGGAAGAAGTGGTGATTTGCCGTGTCCGTATCTACACATGCTATGACCGTTATTGCATGACTAAATGTATCTGCCACTCGATCTAAGAAGCCGACTATTGACATGGAATGCGATCTTCGTGCTTGATGTTTCTTACATAGCACATTGAGTACTCCTTTTGCACAGTGGCATCGTACGCAGACCCGCTCTGGTTCCTCCGCAATTCCGTGAGGGACATCGCCATGTATGCGGCAGAAAAATCGGTGTACAGCGCTTGCGTCCTCCATTCGGAGCGCTACTTACTTGAAGGGAAGCCGAGCGTTACAATGACGGTAAGGTTGTTGAGGGTGCTTGATATCCGGAGGAGGCCCCGGGTTCAATTCCCGATCAGGCCCTTGAAACTTTTATTTTGCACACGGTATCCGCTGTAGCAAGACGTACGGGCAGTAGGTATCTGATATTTCGTATTGATCGGCATGACTCAAACTTGCGTACTCCTGGGGGGTGTACTACTGGTGCACTGACTGTGCACGTTAGCGTCTGGTGAATGGGCAACGACTGCGGATCGGAACGGTGTGATGGCCTTTTTTCAAGGATAAAAGAGCCGCGCCGAAGGCGCCCACTACTAGTTTTGAGTACCTACTAGCACAGGGCTCGAAACTGGTCTTCACTATTAGCGCTACTGTCCGTCTGATTGCCTGAGCAGTCCTCGGTGTGCTGGCCTTCGTGTTTGAAATGCTTCGTTACAGCGGTTTGCGAAACCCTTGCGAAAGTCGCGTCGACGCGGCCGCGCGCCCAATCTCCCAAAAAGGCGAATCTCCTTATGTGGCAATATGCCTGTACACCCTTCCAGGACGCCCATTCCTATTCTTTCGAGCACAGAAGCATTCTTCAGCACCCGTATAGCCTAGCATCCAGCCAGTCAACTTCCGATGCTTTACTGGACTGTCAGCAGGAGAGCACAAGACACCGGCATTTTGTAGTCGGGCGTGGCAATTGCCCAAAAAGGAAGAATCGCCTTTTGGGGAGTGAAGTCGCGCGTTCGCTCTCGACGCGACTTTCGCAAGTTTTTCGCAAACCGCTGTAGGCACTGTGCGAGATGCCGCGACCTGGTGCTGCCTTTTACCGCCATCTTACGCCCAAGCACTCTGCCCGAAGGCATCCGCGCTTCATTCTCTTCACCCCTCAATGGCGATATTTGATGCGCCCGCTCGAGACCTTCAGAAGGAGAGCCCTTCGCATCCTGTAGACATCCAGTCTGCCCGCGCGGCCAACGCTGTCATACCCATCCTTCATCTTCCCGCCGAACTTCTTGGGAAGATATCTCTCCTCGCGGTCCTGGAATACATACGCGAAGACAACCGATACGCGGACCCCACCGCACTTACCCTGGCCTCCGTATGCTATCGTTGGCGCGCAGTGGCTCTCGCTCAACCTGAGCTTTGGGCACAAGTCCCCCTGCACGCGATGTTACATCGCACCCGGCTTTTCCTGACGCGCTCGCGCTCTGCGCCTCTCACACTCCATATGTTTGAGCTGGACACACACGGACGTTCGTGCGTGAAGGAGTGGTATCAGGGTCTGGCAGCTTTGCTGCGCGAGCCCTCCGTATCAACTCGCATACAAAAGCTTCGCTTCAAAAACCAGCGGTGCTCCGGTCACGGCCGCCGATACGCATCGGGAAACGCTGAGTGCGTCGTGATCAGCAGACAATTTCTGCCTCTGCTCGAGGACGTCGACTTCCCGTCCTTGCGTCACGCAATACTTGAAGAGTCCGAGTCGCTCTATGAAGGAGTAGACGACGGAAAGGATCTCGATCCCGCCTTTTTCAATCATTGTTCGGGATTGCGTACTATGCGACTGCTTTTCTGTCGTCTACGCGATCCCCGAGCATACTCCGCGTTATCAGCTCTTAGACGTCTAGAGATTCTCGGCCAGAGCCGGTCGGTTCACTACGAGGATATGTTGGCGATATTGAAGATGGTACCTCAGCTGGGTGCACTCGTAACAGACTGCGAGTTCCACGACGACAACGGCCCCTCTGACCTGTCCGTTCTTGAACCAGACAGAACTTACTTCCTACCATCCGACGAGATCGTGTCCCTACCAAACCTGCACGAGATCCACGTTAACTCGGCAGTGAACATCGTCACGGCTTTCCTCTCCAGATTGTCCTACTCCTCGGACGCGGGCGTCTACCTTGTGACTCATCTTGATGACTTTGACGATAGGCTTGGGGAGGGGTATAGGGCTATTATACGATACTTACTCCCTCTGGACTACACCCGGCAAAACTCTCTGCCCAATTTCGGCCTATCTCTGGGCTACGATAGCGTGGTCATATCCAGCCTTATGGAAGAACTGTCCGAGCCCTGCGGGCATGTTGAGAACACGAATGACTTCAACGTCCGGAGGAAGGCGAGGATGGAGTTCGTGCAGCAGCGGAAACACTGGGAGGACACAGAACCTGGCGTTGCATCCCGTACCTTGTCGCCGAGCACGCGCCGGCATGACTATCGCATGCATCCTCCTCGTCATTTCACGTTGAATATGACAGTGCGTTGGTCAAGGAAACCATTCATCCATGATATCCTCGGCGACGAAATTCCAACAGTTTCCGACCTGAAACTAGCGGTGCTTAGTAGTGGTGGCGAATTCACCTTTGACGATGAGGTTTATGACGACGATGACGACGATGACGACGATGACGACGACGACGACGACGACGACGACGACGACGCCTGGACCGATGATGATGACGACGGCGACTGGGATTATGATCCCAGATATCACATTGCTGAAACCGCGAAGCCGAACTCGAACTCGAAGAAGACGAGAGAGCAGAGGACGATATGGGGCGGTATTGGAGAAACACTACTTCCGGAGTCTTGGGGGCCTGTTGAGTATCTGCAGATCGAAATATCCGCGATACCTGATTTTGTGAAGGCGCTCTTAGCCATGCCAGACGATCCATCAAGCGTGTTGCCGATCATACGCGACTCGCGAGCTTTGGACATTCGCGGCGTGCGTCATCTCATATCACCCCATACAGAGCTCTTGGAAGGTCTTCGTCGACGTACGGAGGTGCTTGGTCGGTTGGATCATCTATGTATGGAAGACGAGGATGTGTGGCGCGGGGAATCGGATCTTTCACGGGTATTCGAATTTCATGTCGAAGACCTTGAGGCTTTTGTTCAGCCGGGTGGCCTGCGCATTCGGACGCTATATGATGCTCTGGTTGAACAAGAACTGGACTGGGAAGCGAGCTTTTATTATCCGAAGTGAGTTTCGCGTCCGTCCTTCGCCCGCGCAATGGGCTGATGCACACTTACCAGGCCGCAGACATCAGGCTGGAAAAAGTGGTGATTTGCAGTGTTCGTATCTACACCTGCTATGACTGGTATTGCATGACACAATCTATCTACTACCCAATCAAAGAATACTTATGACTGGACGATCCCCGTGTTCGATATTCCTTTCATACTTTCAGTACCCCCTTTTCATCGTTGCATCATACATAGACCGACTCGCTTCCTTTACAATTCCGCACTGCGTATGGTGCCCATCCTCGACTCGACTGGGCGCCATAGGATGTACGCGGCAAGATGTTGAGACGAGCCTGGTATCATCACAACAGACAGCATACGTAGCTACAACAACGCACTAGTGAACAGTCGGGCAAGAAGGGATGCACAGCTGATGACAGTATGATGGACAGTAAAAGACGACTGGGAGAGCGAGTGTTACAAGAAAGCGGGCGACAGCAAGTGATGTAAGACAGCGATGAAAGTACAGCATCAGTCAGTGGTCCATATCCACAGTCCAAGGAAGAGTTCCGATCCACAGTCATTCAAGTCAGCCACTTAGTGACACTCTTAGGTAGCGGCGGCATGACCGGCCTATTTCTAGCCATCTCAACCGCACGAAGATCGTGCGCGCGGATGATCTCTTTGACCTGACGCACACCCTCATTCGCGAGCTGCTCAGCATGACTGATGGCTGCCTGCTTGCGCACTGCGAAAGCGCAGTAGGCCTCGTGAAGCTCAAGGAGCTCGTTATAGGTTGCGATACTGCAAGAGAAGGTTATATCACAGTGTATGCAAGAAGCGGAGAGAGCACTCACTATTCAGGAAGTTGGGCACGTATGTCATCCGCGGCTTGGCGCAGGAAGCGGTTGCGCATGTTGATCACTCGCTGGTCGACGCCGGAGAAGCCGGTGCGGATCTTGACCTTGACAATGGTGTTGATCTCGTCCATGATCTCCAAGACGCGGTCCATGGGCTCCTGCTCTTGCTGCTTCTCCTCGGCGATCACCGGCGTGCGAGATTTGAGAGGTATACGACGCGGAGGACCGGAGCGACGAGGCTGAGCTGGTGAAGCGGTCTTCGCCGCCTTGGCCTGGAAGAGGCGAGGCCGTTCCTCCTGTGGTTCAACGTGAGAGACGCGAATAGGCGAGAGTCTATTGGAGGACGTCGAAGCGCGCGGCGCTGGATGATGGTCAGTATGGAGACAGCTGAGGCACGATAGAAGATGGTTCATACCTGCGATAGGCTGCTCTTGAGTGCGTGGCGCGAATGGCGTAGGCTTCTGCCGAGGAGCTGCTTCAGCCTCGGCAAACGCAACGCTCTTCTTGCTACGAACGGCAACATGCTCTTCCGGCTCTTCGTCAAACGACGGAAGAGAGACATCTTCACAAGACATATAGACGTCGAACGGTGGAGCAGAGTCCTCCTTCTCTCCTTTGAGCGGGAGCGTGATGTCCGTGTACTTCTCGCGATACGATTCAGACGACGAAGACTTGTCGCTGACTTTGGGGTCTTCTTTCGCGGAGTCCGAGGCCGGGTCAATCCCAGCCTCGCCATCGAACTCGAAGTCGACATCAAAGGTATCGATGGCCTCCGCGGCGGCTTCGATGATAACAGGCGAGGAGAGACGAGCCTTTCCCTTCGCCGCAGCACTGAGTCGAGGGGGGCTGATGTTGATAGTAGCGTCAAGCATATCCACATCGTCCTATATATCGTCAGCTCTGCAAATTGTACGCTCGACGGAAGATGACTCACGTAAAGCGTCTCGCCCTCCATAGTAGCATCCTTCAGGCTTGCACGTTTAGCCTTAGTAGGGCGGCGCGCCCGTAAGCTTATCAGCATCTCGATCGTAAGGGCAACACGGGAAGGCTCACCGTTGGTGCCTGTACGGATACTTGCACGTCGTCAAACATCTCCGCGACATCTACTTCTTCGACAGCAGCGGGCTCCACATCTGCTTCATCGTTCAGAGCCGGAGCAGGAGCGGCTTCCCCTTCCTCCGGCGATGATTCCCCGAAGTCGAACTCAGGTGCGATGCGCTGAACGGGACCAGGCGCGCGCGCACGCTCTGCAGTTGCTGATCCCGCCTAGAGAGAAGGAAAGAAGATGTCAGACTGCGTAGACCATCACAACGTCAGCGTCATGCCCACGCACCTGCTCGTCGAACAAAGTAGTAATGTCATCGAAAGCATCACCACGAGATCGAGGCGCCTTCGAGCTTGCATGCCCAGGACGAGGAGCATTGGTCTTCGACGCATGGGGTACATGAGATGGCGGCGTTGACGCAGGAGCAACAGAGTCGATGTCGCCTGTGCGCTCGCTATTCTCCGTGGGTGATAGATGGGGTGCGCGCTGAGCAGCAACCCTACGCGGAAGCCGCTTGATCTCTCGCTTCCCAATAGCCTCTTCAACAGGCCCCTTCGTCTTCGCGGGCTCCTTCGCGCTCGCGCCCTTCCCCCGCATCGCCCCAACCTTTGATGGACCCGCCACAGTAAGCGGCGCCGGCGAGCTCGATCGCGGACCCCTCGTCTGCGCGAGCATCTCCTCGAGAGGCGACTTGGGACTCGATCCCGGGATGGAGTCGAAGTTCACCTCGGATGCCGACGTGTTCGGATCCTTCTCCTTAGCCGCGCCGCGAGTGCCATACTTGCGTGCTGCTGGTTTGGTAGGGCGTGCAGGAGGCGCCTTCGGCTTAGGTCCAGATGGCGCGGCCGGCGTTTTGGGATTACTGCGACGGCGCTTGGGAAGATGGACCGATGCGTCGGACGTTGGCTGGACTTCCTCTTCGCGCTTACGCTTGCCGCGCGCTGAAGTTGCAGCTGGTGGAGAGGTGGACGACTCTTGAACCTCAGTCTCGCGAGTGGCAGTGGGCTTAGCAGGCTCAGGTTCCGCGGATGCAGAAGCGGCGCTGCGTGCACGATGACCTGGATCACGATGAGCGCGCCATCGACCAACGAGTAAGAAGAGAACCCACCCTCGACAGCAGTCGAAGACGACCCATGACCTGCAACACTCGGTGACGAAGACTGCGTAGATTGATTCAATACGCCCGCATCTTGCGCGATCTTCTTCGAAGCAGCAGCGGCCGACGCGCGCGTGGGCCGTGTGCGGCCTTCAGCGGGCTGTGCGAGAGCGGAAGTGATAGGCGCCGGCGCCGGCTCGGCCTTCTTCTTGGGCGCTGCGGGGGCTGTGGTGCTCGCAACGGTAGCCTTGGTCTGCGCGGGAGTCTTCTTGCTCGCGCCGGGTGGAGAGCTGTCAGACGCGTCTGCGAGGGTTTCCGCGGCCTTCTTGCTCGCGTTTGCCGCTTTCTTCGCCGGTGCAGATGTGCTGCTCGCGTCCTCTGAGACCTTCGAAGCAGCGGCGGCCTTTCCCTTCGGCCGCTGTGGAGGTTTCTTCTTCACCGGAGCCGGCGCTGCAACATCCTGCGCGACGAGGGAGGGGAAGCGAGGTGGAGACATGGCCGACGCGGGCTCGTCGACCATGGGAGGGACTTCCTTCACTACCGGAGCAGCCTGGGATAAACGAGGCGAAGTACGACGCTCGGGTTGAAATCCTCCATTCTCTGATATCTCCGCGGCCTTGCGTTTGCGCGTTGAGGATGAAGCAGGTGGCTGCCCATCGTTCGAGTCCACGACGCGCATCCCAGACTTCCTTCCACCCTTGACGCTCTGCCCCCTCTCTTGCGCTTTACGCGCCCGTATACGCGCAGCTTCGGGTATCGAATCGTCGTCCGACTCTTGATCAGAGAGCTCAGAGAGCGATTCAGAGGTTCCGAACATGTCTCCCTCTATCTCTGCCTGGCGCTCCTGCGACGAGTTTTGGAATTCCTCGTGGCTTGTGATGCTTAACGTCTTCGGCAGCGATACTGCCGGCTTCGATGGGGCTCGACTTTTGGAAGACGCAGGCGCTATGACCTTTGAGGATTTGGACGAGTCCGGCTTCGAAGCGTGAGAAGTCGGTTTAGAGGCGTTGGAGTTTGCCTTCGTCAGGAGATCCGTGAACTTGGACGAGAACGAAGGCCGCCGCGTCGGCGCTGGCTTCGAAAGAGATGTCGACGGCGGAGACTCGATATAAGGTCCTGGGGAGACGTCAGGTGGAGGTACGGGTGCTGGGCGTGGTACAGGTGTCGAGCCTGGGGTGGTGATCTGTGTGAGCCTCTCTGTAAGAGAGGGTAGGGGCTCCTTTGCGCGGGGTTGCTTGGGCTCGTGCTGTGCGCGGGACGGCGCAGGAGGCACCCTCACACTAAAATCGAGTATACGTCAGTCCAAAGGAAGATTAACGAGTGGGAGGGACCTCACACTTGCACTTCCGCAGTGAAAGCAAGTTCGTCGCCGATGGGCTGCTCGTCACCCGCCTCGCTGGCTTTGTCAACTGTACAAAGCATATCAAGACCTATATCGGATTACGAATGCGAATAGCCATCTCACCGCCTTCAGCTACCATACGCGCCTTCTCAGACGTAGTCGGCTCATACGCGTTCTTTCCATCCACAAAATCGAGACGCGCGGGCTCCTGAGAGATCGAGAACTGCTTCCTTGTCTTGCCCTGCGTCATATCCTTCCACGCAACGCTCTTCTACATTTCGTATCAGCATGTCTTCGCTAGGAACGGCCAAGAAAGAGTTGAACGCACGAGATTCCGGTCAACGAGCGTGTTGTACAAGTGTTCGGCTCGCGAAACCTCGACCTTGAACATCAAACTGAGCGGTACGGTCCCCGACGGCCGGCGTGCAAGCGCTCCATGCGGACCGCCGCCTGGCGGTGTGGTGAGCTGTCCAGTAACGAGACCGGTCTTGCTGACGGACATATGTGCGATAGTGTTGAAGCCGACGATGAACGTGTCGTACGTGCCCTCCTCCTTGCGTATCATGTCAGTACGACCGATGTGACTTCTTATGAGAGCGCTAACCTCGGTTTCGTTGGTGAAGACGAAAGAATGGCGATCAACGAAGAAACGTGATTGGACGCGTTTGGGCGGATCGACCAGACCACCCGCCTGGAACAAGGTGTGCTGGAACGGCTGCGGGCTTCGCAGCGTCAGGATGCGCTCCATCATATGACGAGATTAGGGATCTATACGCACAATGAAATCTCGCGTGCAAGCAACGCCCCAATCTCCTCAACAGTCTCGCTCCATTCGTTCGTCTTCTCCAGCTTACTCTCGACATGCCGTGCGATCTCCGCGCCTGCGGGGTGCATGTCGGGCTGGTCGAAACATTCGCGTAGCATCTGGGATGCACGAGCACGGTTCTCAGGTGGCCCTTTGCGTACACGAGGAAGAACGACGCCGAGGGTGTTGAGAAGCTCATCTTGCGGGAGCGAATCTGCGGGTAGAGATGCGTGAGAGGCGCTCATAAGAAGGGGTTGGAGGTGCTGACCTTTACATGCGTAGATGACCTGACCGAACTTCTCCCTATACAGCTAATGAGCATAGAAACGCAAGTGACAATACACCATCTTACGGTGAGACGAGCTTCCGAAGCGTCTCCTGATTCTCCGGATGATGCGTCGAGGTATAACAAAGCAGTGTATATACCTGTAACCACCATCAGACTCTGTATACACGCATATATGCGCCCCAAAATGCGTTCGCCGACTCACAGTCTGTCTCAAAGAGATAGAGAAAGCCGAAGATGATGAACCCGAGGCGAAAAAGTGCAGCGCGATGTTCTTGTAGAAGGCGCGGCTGATCGCAAGCTTCGTGGTGCCTAGCGCGCGTCTCAGCCTCAGCGCTACAATCGGCATATGCAGAAGTGCGCTTACTGCTTTCGTCTTTCTCGTGATAGTCCTGCGCCCAATGTCAGCATCCAGCCTCCCATCAAAGACACGTCGAAACATACCAACACCCCATCAATCACAGAAGCGACAACCCCTTCCCACCTCTCCGCGCCCTCCATATCGCCCTTACTCCTCGCCGGCAGCGCACGCTGCTTCACGCATATCGTGAAGATGGCCGCCGCGAGTTGCAGCGCATCCTGAGTGAAGTGCTCGTAAAGCGGCACGAACGCGTGACGGAGATCATCCGTCACGTTCGGTGCAGAGGGAGTTTGGGTCTTCTTCGTGTTTGGCGCGAGCTGACACGTCTTTTGAGCCTCTTTATACGTGTCGCATAACATGAAGAACACGTACGACTGCCTTGCCGGCCTTGTCCACCTTCGTAAACGCGGTCTGGACATCAGTGCTCCAAGGCGCGGTCGCCTTCTTCAACGTCGCCAAGCCATCCCTGATCGCCTTTTCGGCGATCGACGGAGTCATAAATGAGTATAGTCCAATACAGAACGTGTATGACGAAAATGGGAGAACGGGCGCGCGTACGCCGGTGATGGTGGCAGCGGCGAGAAGAGCGCGACGCGTCGCGAAGCGCGTTTGGCGCGCATTTCCTGATGCGGCGCCGAGCTCTCACGCTCGGCCGCGCCTCATGCTCTCAATCATCGAAGCTAGCGCGCTCGCATCCCACCACCCAGGTTCGAGTCAATTGCAGACAAGGTACATGCATGTATTGGCTCAGTCACAGAAGAGCTGGTAAGTACATGAAGACAAGCGTCCGACGACGCGTTTTGATTCCAATTCAAGTCCAAAATGGGAAGATACAGTGGTTTTGATGGTCAAGGTTCGTGGGGTGTGAGATACAGGAATGTATGCGGATGTAGTACAGTGAGGATGATGGTATGGTAGTGCGAGGTGACAGTTTATGCTGCAAGGAGAACAAGACAAAACGGGTGATAGCTGGCGACGGAGGCAACGGGTGTAAATACGACTGGCAAAGCAGAACACGAAAGACAACAAGAAAGCACATTCACTTTGCGGGTTTGATTCCAAAATCCGTGGTTGAGCGAGAAAAGCGAAACAGAGAGCTTGGGTTCAAAGCGTGACGAGAATTGCTGCGAGTGAAAGCGTTGATGCGGTATGAGAATCGATTCTAGTTCGTGTCGTTCGTGTAGGCGGAAGGCGACCAGGCCTCTTCAGTCTCCGCCGGCGCCTCCTCGATCTTGACGGCGATGGGCGCAGTGGGCTGGCTAGACAAAATCTCTTCGGCCTTCTCACCAGAGATAGTACGGAAGTGCGGCGCGCCAGGTTCCTCGCCCGAGTATTGCGCGTTCGAGTTCAGACCCTCTGGGCTCTGCCCAAGAGGAGCGGCGCTTGCCTGCGGGCTGAAGTGATGGGCACCTGATGGACCGGCGCCAACAAAGAAGGCGCCCGCGTGGTTCCCATAGTACGAGCCCGAGGCTTGGCGATAATGCGCATCGGAACCGGCGACGGGTATACCGTAGTGCACAGCGCCCGATTGAGGGCTAAACTGCGTGTACTGCTCCATGCCGGCCCCCGGCTCAGGCTTGACGGCGAGCGCTGCGGGAGTCTCCGTAGCGGGAGGCGTATCGGTATCACTCGAGGTACTGAGGGAGCCCGACGAAGAGCCGTCGGCGTTCATGAAGAAGGGACGGATGGCGACGGGAGACTGTAACTCCATCGCGCCAAACGCACGCGCAAAGTGACCGCGTGCGCGCTCCTGGCCGTCTTCGGCGTTGTGCGAAGCCGGAAGGTACTGGTCGAGCGGCTGAGACGCTGATGCGGGAAGGCCATTGTACGATGCGGAGAGTGGGCTCTGTTGCGAAGGCGAGTACCCATACGGCGCCATCGGCTGGTGAAAGTGCGCTCCCGGGCGAGGCGCATGCTGATACGAGTTGTGGCGCCCAAGATGCGGCATCATGTGGCGGAGATGATACGTCGGCGGAGCGGCCTGATGGAGCGCGTCCTCAAAGTTCATGCCGGGAGCGCCGCCATGGCGGGCGAAGTACTGCGCAGTCGGGCTCGGGTAAGGTGAAGTGTACGGCGACGAAAAGTTAGACGCGGCGGGCTGACGATAACCCTTGTACATGTTGCCCTCGAGAGCCGACGCAGGAACAGGAACGCCGTACTGGACCCCTTCCGGGAGCTCACTCTGAGCATACGGCTGCGAGAAATGAGCAGGGCGCTTGATGTCACGGCGCAGTTCGGGAGGATGCTCAGGCGCCGTGAAGATCTGGTCGAGAGGCGTAACGGGCTGACCCTCGGAAGCCGACTCGGCCGAGAGGTAGGACTTGTTCTGGATCGCAGACGGACAATACTCAGGCGAATCGCTGGAGGTGGATGACGTTGGGAAGAGATGAGACGGCGGCGGAGGCAAGTCAACCTGCACACGCAGAGCCGGGAGGTTCGATGTCAGGCGACGACGCGACATTGAGTTCGACCTTGGGCCGTCGTACTCTGCCCATTCGGCGTTATAACCTTCAGGAGGAATGTTCTCGCTGTCTTCGGGGTCATGCACGATGATGCCAGGCTCGCCCATCTTAGGAAGGGCGATACCGGGATACGGACCGGACGACGCATAACCTGAATCATCGTGACCGTCGACGTCCTCAGCGAGAAGACCACCCATCTTCATGGGGATACCTGCACGACGAGCAGGCGAAGCTGGATGGCACCCGTCAAATACGATCGACGATAAAGATATACAGCGATACTTACACATAATGGGCGCATTGACATCGTACCCAGTCAGCTTCGGGGGGTCATCGTAGATCGGCAGCGAAGACTCTCCAGGAGACCTACGTGCGCTGCGAAGAAGAGCCATCACTATGCACGACAGCGATCAGCCACCCGAAAAAGGCGAAGATAATAACATGACCTACTCCGCGGATCGTCCTTGTGAGTCTGACGAAGGCGCTGAAGACGGCTCGCGACCTGCTTGCGCGTACGGAGTTTACCAGTCTTCTTAAGGATATACTCCTGAATGAGCTGACAGCGGCCGACATTGCCAAACTCGGAGGGCTGGCCCTTAGGTGAGTAGACCGTGACGGTACGGCGGGTGATCATCGGCGGGTAGACCGAAAGCGCTTGCGGGCGCTTAGATTAACATTTGATCAAATACGCGAGAAGACGAAAAAGATAAGCACCTTCGAAAAGCGCACCCTCGAGATCAGGCGGCCAGACGAGCTCGCTACCATCAGCGAGCATACGGGGCATCTTGTTACCCCCGCTGCGTTTTTTCGGCGGGTACGATCCGTTGGGCGGAGGCGTGGCAGAGGCCTCGGGCGAGTCAGATGGAGTCGGCGAAGGAGAGTACTGAGCGGCTTGAAGAGACATTTGTATATTTGAAGAGAAGTCGAGAAATGAGAAGTCGAAGAAGAGAATGCGAAGGTCGTTGGCGGCGGCGGGGCGTTCAAAGTTGAAGGAGAGAGAGCGATGGAGGCGGAACGCAAGACGCGCTTGCTTTGCGAGCATCGCGCTCCTGCCGCTTTTGATGCTTCGTTGTCCCCCGTCGCGTGGCTTTGACAGCTGGCGCGGTACCGTTCAAAACCCCACTTTGTCTGAGACCATCCTCTCCAGAACGTGCACCGCCAGTTCGTAACACGAGCTAGCACGTCTTCTCCCGCGTCCCCAGAGCGCGGCTCTTACCCTTACGAAAACCTAACCCGACCAGAAAGGCAATGCGGGGTAAGAAAAGAACCCATGTGACCGCGAAAACTCCGCATCGTAACGCCCGTCTCGTAAGACAAGCTCGTCCCTGACGTTGCTCTGATGTTCAGCTGCTCTTGTTGTATCTTGACGGCAGCCCGCACGGCTATCGTGACGACCACGAGCTTGCCTGCTAACCACGACGAGGCCGTCTGGCCTGCTCACGACTCGTCATGTCCTTCTTCACGTCTCGCTCCAGTACAGAGCAGCCCAGTCTGGGGCCAGCAAAGGTACGTTGCTCATGGTTGTGGGGTAAAGATGCTGGTCTGACTTGAAGCAGAGGCGCAAGCTGATATCGCGTCAAAGGCTGCGTAAGGTACGAGATGAGAGCGATACGGACTGGAGAAACTAAGGACTAACCTCTGCTTGTAGTATTCATGGTTACCCGACGTATTCCGCATCAAGAACAGCGTACGTCTTGCGCGCGTGCGCCTGCCTAAAATTCAGCACTGACTTCAGCATAGGTGATACCACGCGTACTCTGGCCCGTTCTGACCGTCACCCTCATTGCGGCCTGCGTGGCATGGGGCGAAGCGAACGGGCGCTCAGTGCGTCTGACAAACTCCGTTACGCCACTTCTCGCGGTAGTTGTACGTGTGGCACCTTCCGCAATATAGCCCAATCATACTGACGTTTCCCTCCCCACAGGTCGGCTTGATCATGGTCTTCAGAAACGGGACGTCTTATGACCGCTTCTGGGAGGGCCGCAAATCATTTAGCTCGATGGAATCGGGCGTGCGCTCCCTATCCCGCATGATCTGGATCCAGGTTGCCCTGCCACCCGACGACGACGCGCGGCCACCGGGTGCTATGAAGGGAAAGACGCCAACGACCAATATCACCGCAACGGCTTTGCACCGTAAGAAGGCCGAAGTACTCAAGCTGGCCGTTGCCTTCGTAGTCGCGGTAAAGCATTACGTTCGCGACGAGGATGGGCTGGATTGGGACGACTTTGTCGGCCTGATCCCTAAGTCTTTCTTAAGACAGAATGCAAGTGGAGGCGTGTTGCAATATAATCTCGTCGCGGATGGACGATATGGTGCTACTTTCACCGAGAGCCCGGATAAGACGCGACCCGGAACTCCCTCAGCTGGCATCACTCGAGATGCGAGCCTTGCGCGCAGCTCGGTGCTGGATAATAGCGTGTCCACTTTGCCTATCGGGTCGGGCGTAGGAACGAAGCGCGTGCGCGTCAAGAGGAGTATCGACAAGCTCATCAACTCCCGGACTCCCTTGATGCAGCCACCGGAACATCAGTCTGTCAGCTTCGTGGAGGCGAGTATGCCGCTGCCGCTCCTGTAAGTTACTTCGTCCAGCGTCCGGCATCATGTCATCATGGACTGACGACGTTGATAGTATCGCGCATGAGATCTCGCGTAGTCTCTTCCAGTTCCGTCGTGACGGCTTGCTTGAGACCGTTGGTCCGGCAGGTGCTAACGCCATGAACCAAACGTCCGTCTACTTCTTTCCTCTATACGTGCATGGTCTAACGAACTTCCTAGTGTTCAAACTCTCGTCGAGCAACTCACAGCCCTTGAACGCATCGCCAACACGCCCATTCCCAAGTCTTACAGCATCCACCTCAAACAATGCGTAACCCTGTACCTCTTCGCACTTCCCTTCACGTTGATTCGCGAACTCGGTTGGGCCACCATCCCGGTAGTGACCGTCGTGGCGTTCACGTTCATGGGTATCGAAGGCATTGCAGAAGAGATAGAACATCCATTTGGAAGGGACGAGGGTGATCTACCTCTCGATAGGTATTGCTCGGATCTGAGGGAAGAGGTCGAGTTCATGATCGCGAGAATGCCAGAGGGAGGCGTTGGAGCTTATGGATGGGACGATGGCGAGGGTGATGACTGAAGTACTGAAGGCTCTCGATGTCTTGATGTGCTCGTTATGGACTTACTACCTCACACATCGTGTTTACCTCACGGACTTCATGGAGCGCACAAACACAATAGTTTACATACGACAGCATACGAGAAGATCAAAAAAGGCAATCTACGGTACCCGACCGCAGTATGATAAGTAAGAAAGAAATGTAGTCCATGAATGACTGCATGACCTGGGCCTTAGCACGAGCGTACTGTTAGATATTGGCAGCCTCGGCGGAGTGCCCACATGTGCCGAGTGCCGCGATAGCAGGCTGCCCGTGATAAGACCAAGCGCACAAAGCCTGGAGTCCGTTCCCATCAGCTTCTGCAACCATTGATACTGTGTACAACTCGACACTCACAATGATGACGTAGAAAGATACCATGGCCAACCCGCCTGCCCAGTTCGTTCGAGCGTCCTCGGTCACGTAATTGACCAGAAAGCACGCGGCGATAAGGATAGCCACCCCAAATATATCTGACAGGCCATGAGCGGTGCAGCATCACTTCATCACGCCGAACACGTACCGAACAAAAGCGTGAAAGGCTTTCCCGACGCCCAGCTGATGAGCACGAATATGGGTAACCACATCAGGGTGAATTGGATGCTCATGTCGATCGCGCGATCCTCCGCAAGAGTCTTCGGCGGCTTGGGTTTCCTATCCGAGTCCTTCTTGAACAAGCAGAGAGAGAGCGACTCGGCGAAGAACACGATAGAGACGACACCGTCCGCCGCAAAAGACAGAAGGGGAAGGAGGATAAGGCCAAACCATTCCCTCTGCAGGCCAGAACTCATATCGCGGCCCACGAAGTCCATCGAGTCCAAAAGCTGTGTGTGGGAGTGAGCGGATACACGCGTGTATAGTGGAGACAATGGCGCTCACACATTCAACTGTGAATCCCATCAAGGGCATAGCTATTACCAAAAGCATGACGCTAACATATTTGTTGGCCTTAGGCGTCTGATGGACATGCCTAGACTGCCCGGAGCACTGCGTTGCACTGGAAGAATCTCCCGTATGCACCGTGGTCCCGCTTTGTGTATCAACGACGGCTCGATTAGCCTCCAGAGAGACCCCACTAGGCGCTCCGGGGTTGCTGGGCAGGCGATGCAAGTACAGGCGAGAACCGATATAGACGACGAACATGATGATGGCGATACCGTGCGTCATCTGCAAGAGTTCGACGGCGCTTAGGTTGACCGGCGGTTGGGTGTCTTTCATGGCCGTGAATATGACTAGCGGGATAGCGAGGACCATGACTCTGCATGGAAGTTGAATCAGGTGGGTACACGCGGTATCGTAGGAAAGGTCACTCACGCGGTAACCAACAGCATATGGTTCAATGGATTCGTCCGGGCATCGAGGCGGAGCTGCGGAGTACGACTGCCGCCGGTCAAGAAGCTGATTCCCGGCGCGAGTAGCAGGTGCAGCAGCACAACACCGACGATGGTGCTCTTAAGAAGCCTGAGCTCGCACCGCACCAGTAAGATGATGGCAGCTGTTGCTTCGACAGCATTCTTCAAGGTAGTGACGATAAAGTTCCCGACAAGGTCTCCGGTGTATAGCGCGAGCTGCTCGCCGCCGAAGTCAACGAAGCTCTCTAAAGCCATGATCGACAGAAAGCATACTGTGCACCATTGAGATCTGCAAAGTAGACTCAAAGCGTAGACGGCGACACTCACGACCGAAAACAACAGCGTCCTTTTGAACTTGATCTTCGCCAGCGAAGTACACGCCCATGGCAATTGGGAGAAAGAGGATGAAGCTATTGATCCCTAAATGTAGCTCATCTGAGCTTCTAAAGTACAAAGACGCGAGAGAATGGGCTGAGCGTACAAGAGGACTTGACAGTATTGCAGAAGCTCTCCTTCCAACCGACGGGAGGAAAGGGTGGGCCAGCCACTCTATCCGAGGGTGCGTGGGATGAATTTCCCTCGGACTCGACGAGTCTCTTGAATTGACGGGTACCCGACCCGGAACCTGTCATGTTGTATGCTGAAAGAAACGAGAAGTAGAAGAAGAATGAATAGCAGGATGCGGCCTGTCGTGCTGTGATATATGGTCCCGTCTTTAAGTACACGATAGCCCTGACCCCTACGTCGTGGTGTTGCAAACGCGCATGCCACTACAAGTCTTCCGCGGACAGACTACAAGCAATGCGACTTGCTGGCAACTAACCGTCTCCGCAAGCACGCTGCTGAACGCATTGTGAGTTAAGCCTTGATGCGAATAGGAACGGTCTTCCGCGGTCGCAATTATTCTCCGATAGGTTAAGATAACCCTCCCGAAAACATGTTCTGTAGGACAACGGCTTCTGAGAACCATATCACATAGCCATAGAAGCCATTGGACCGCTGAACCTTGCCCAAGAAAACAGATATCCGGCGTGTTCATCGTGGTGAGAACAAAGCCAGCTTGCAGCGCCTTTCCGCCAGCTGAATGGCGCCGCTGATTGCCGATAACACCCACGGCCAATCACCAGCGCTTGAGCGCCTCAGCAATGATTTCTCCCGACCAATCGGCCCAGCGCTTTGTGGGTAGCCACTGACTCCGTATACGAAATGCGACCTAATACAAACACAGCGTGCCCAGCCTACCCCTTGGCCAGCCTTGCGACGTCATTCGGTCGCCTCAAGCTTGCACAAGCTGGCTGCCACCGTCACCGCCACCGTTTACCCGACACCAGGACTATGAGTTCACATCCCAGCTGCATCCTCCGCCGAATGAGCTTATGGTTCACGACCGAGTATCATGATGGACAGCCATGACTTCAGGCTTCGATGCTTCCTCCGGTACCGGGGGCGAGTATGGTCTGTTCAGGTAGTATTCGATTCGCCGAAGCTCCTCGGCACTGCGCCTCTTCAAGTCGACGATGCCTCGCCTCGTCGCAACCTACGTCGGTACCATTGTCAGCGAGCAGGACATGGACCGTAGATTCAAGTGCAAGCACAAGATGCATATTTGACAGGATTTCATCCCTGTCGTCGCGTATTCCTGGATCTTACTATTAGTCAAGTATGAGAAAACAGGGACGCTCGTCTCTGGTAGCGACTCCTTGAGAGTTTCAACGAGGCTGTACGAAGGCACAGATGAAGCAGCACGCCCGGAAGACCTATGGCCAGTCGGTATCCCGACGGTAGAAGATTGGTGAGTATGTGCGCATGTAGTGTAGAATGCGTGTATTGAGCGTGCATCCGATGTGCGGCGTTAGGAGAGATAACTACGGCGCGACTTGCATCCCGCGCGCACGTTGTTCTTCTCCCGCAAGCGAACTAAGCTTCAATAAGAACCTCGCTTGAGCTTCCGGTCTCCTCGGACCAAACGCAGCCTTGCTATAGGCGATATGTCCAGATTGAAGCAACCAGTTCAGACGAAGGATAATGACATGGCAGTGATATAGAGTTACTGGAAGTCAGGCTGGCAGAACTGGCCGGGACCGTAAGGCTCGCTCGTAAGCGCGGTCAGGCCAGCCGAGTTCTCGCTTGTGTGCCGTCCGCTCTGCGGGCCGGGCTTGGGCTTCTCGCCCTTGGCGAACGTGTCCAATATCCGCTTGGTCGACTCCTCCGTGAGATCCTCCTACGGTAGGAACATGCGTCAGAGTCATTCCACATGAGTCAACATTTGCACTCACGTAGAAGTCGCCAGCAATAGCCATCATAGGCGCGTTACTGCAAGCGCCCTGGCACTCGACCTCCACAACCGTAAACTTCCCATCCTTCGTCGTCTCACCAGGCTTAATCCCACCCAGATGCCCACACACAACGTCAAGAATATCGTACGCGCCCCTCAACATGCACGGCGTCGTCGTGCACACCTCGACAAAGTGCTTGCCCAACGGCTCGCGGTTGAACATGGTGTAGAACGTCGCGACCTCGTACACGCGCATGGGGTTGACCTCGACGAGCTTGGCGACGTAGTTCATCACTGAGATAGACGTCCAGCCGAGTTGTTCTTGGCCGAGATGGAGAAGCGGGATTATGGCGGCTTTCTTGTATTGTGGGGGGTATTTGGAGATGATGTTCTCCGCCTCCTTCAGGTTCTCGGGCGTGAACTCGAACGGAATCTATGGGCCATGTCAGGAAACGTTTTGCATAGATATAAAGTGATGTGCACACCTTCGGGTTGTTGTAGTCGGTATCCCGGTGCTATATCAAAAGTCAATACCGAGTGAACACTCTGACTACACGATACGCACGTTAAAGAGCGCGTCTGACCGCCTGCAAGCCGACGCAGACAGCTGGCGCGCGGGCGCCGCAACGCGCGCAGAGCGCAATGCGGAGGTCGATGCCGAAGCGGCGGCGCGACGGGCGGCGGTGCGGGCGGCGAACATGGAGGTGGTGATGAGAGACGCGCTGAGCGTCGGGACGAACGAAGCGGCGAGCGGAGAAAGTCGGCGAGAGCCAATCAGCGCGCAGGCCTGACCACACATTCCGACCGTCGTTGCTTGTTCGCGTCCACCATCACCAGTACACTTCATGATGACATGCATCAGTTCAGGGTGCTTTATACATCACACAATGTCGCTTCATACAACTGTGGAAGCTCATCTACCGTAAGTAGAATGTCATGGACCCGTACAGAAAGTGAGGGCGGCACTGCCGTGCTCTTTGTCCTCGACATCCATGGCGACAGGCAGACTGGATGCGTCTTCACAAGCTCAACAGCTGATCGCTCGTCTGAGCGCACCGATCGAAGACCTTCCAACACTACTTTCCCTTCTAGCCGCGCCTCTCGACAGCCTCTCCCTTCTCCCTCCACGCTACCGACGCCACAACACCTCGCCTTTATCGGAAAACGCCGTCCAGCCCACGAGGCATATCTGCCTGATCCAGCGAGCTCTGATAGAGCATGTGGTGCCAAATTGGCAGCCTGCGCTTGAAGAAGCCGATGCGATGCCGCTGGTCGATCAATACTTCGTTCCAGATTTATTCATGAACGCCACCCCGTCCGCCGGACTGATCTCGTTATACGCATACTCGACTGTCTTGTCTCTGCCCCTGCGGGACTACTCTCTTTCGGTCCTTGTACGACTATCAAAGTCATACCCCATTGACCGTCTGCACGCTTCCGTCTTCAGCGTGACGAGCTTGCATGCAGGTCAAACCACACAGATCTGGGAGGATACGGTCAAGAGCGTGCTTTCGGTCCCCACACGCGTTGCAAACGCTCTGCAAGGGAAAGATGTACCGCCAGAACTTGACCTAGGACAGTACTTCCGCAACCTCAGCGTGCGGTGCGAAGCTTTACTGGCTTCATATGACCGTGATCAAGGTTCGTAGATACCTTCCCAGAGTCAACCCGCCCCGCTGAAGGACCTCTACAGACCTGACCTCCGTGACATATCTCTTCACGAAGCTAGTCAACACGGGTGCATTCCCGTCTTCCAGCAACATTGCACCGTCGCAACCATCCTTCTTTGAGCACGCACTGCCTACAATCCGATCGCGGGCACGTTCGTCATCGACACACACTGCTATATGGGTCGATCTTCTAAGTGCTATACCGTCTACGATGACACTACAAAGCATCCTGGCATCTTTATTTGCCTACCTTCGGACGCCCGCTCTTCCTTTGGATACGGGCCCTCGAACGAGAGGTGCCGTCAAGAGTGAAGCAGAGCTGTTGAGGGGCCTGCTTGGCGAAGTGAGAAAGGGATCGTCGGTCTGGAATGCGGCATGCGCGGTCATTCTGAACCGTGACTGGGATGAGGGCCATGCGAGGATCTTCGTCTGTTGGGCTGCCGGGAATACGAAAAGCGAGCAAAGTAAGTTCGATCAACCCGGATTCAGAGTAACATACTCATGCATTTCAGGTCTCGTTCTTCTGCTTGATGCTGCACTCGACGTCTGGACGTCTCCCGAACACATCAAGCATTCGCTCTTATCGAAGCACCGATGTACGTATACCAGTCCTTCTTGCGATGCACCACACTGAAAGCTCTCCAGATACCACGCTCCTCGTCCTCCTCGCGCACGCAAACCTCCCGCCAAACTCATCAAAACTTCAAGACCTCGCATTCTCACCACCCTTCATCCAGTCTATCACACACTACATCTCGCACCTCGATCAGAATGTACGCCGGTGCGGCATGCTGGTCGCAGAAGAGGCCGCCAAGCGAGCCGGAAAGACGCTCGACTTCAAAGAGTGGGGTGTTCCCGGAGCTCAATGGGCAAGGGAAGCTCGGATACTGCTCGCTGAGCGCGACGTCGACACGTCAGTCATCGACGGGGACTCTGACGATGAAGAGGGCAACGCGCCGCAACTCGACGTCAACGACCTTCTAACAGACGACATCATCGAACCACCATCCTCACCTCCCAAACCTTCAGTAGCCCTCGCCTCAGGCTACGACTCCGACGACTCCCTAACCGGATACGCATCTCCACACGACTCCGACCGCTCAGCATCACCCACGCCTTCCGAGCTCGCAGAGATCGAGAAAGACCCCACGTTGAACGTCGGAAAGAAAAAGGTCGCGAGGCCGGTCTATCTCGCTCAGCTTGGGATGATGCTGCGGCAGACTGGGGGCGTTACGACCGGTGGAGAGGATGATGAAGTTGATAAGGTTGAGATTGGGTTGGACGTTGCGGAGGAGCTTATTAGGAGGAAGCGGTCGTATGGCACCGAGCTCGGTATGCTCCTCTTATCCAGTGTACTCCGGGTAGAAAGCTGACGGGCTTGGCAGAGGAGAACGCGGTGAACCTCGTCTACGCTCTCACAACCCTAACCAACAAATTCGAGCTCCCCGGCTTCGACCGCAAACGACAACTAGCCCTCATAGCGCTCGTAGCATGCAGCCCAACAAAAGCCGCACCCACAATCATCCAAGAGCTCTTCTCGCACCAATACAGCATGGACCAGCGTTTCGCAATGCTCAACGCGCTCGCACTCGGCGCGAGAGAGCTGGCTGGACGCGCGGTCACCGATGGGCCTCTGGGCTCGACTGTGGCTGGGAGTAAGAGGGTGGAGTTCCCTAGTCGGAAGTTACCGGGCGCATTACATGCGCGGATGTTGGAGGCGGATAGCAGTGCGACGGCTCGTGTACAGGGTCTACTCGAAGGCGCAGCCCGCGCCGCAATAGACGGCACACGCGAAGCAGCAGAAGACCGTATACCGGGTGCCGCGCGCGAACGACAACTCCGTCTACGTCCTCAAGCCCGTGTATCTGAAGTACGCCGCGCCTCCGATGGGCTCCCGGGTCAAACGATACAGCCTGCGGATACGCCGACGTTCACGTCCGTGGCGATCGAGTATTTCATATACCCGCTAATGAACCGGTTCTGGCTGCATGTGCGGGACTCGCAGACGCGCGAAGCGATGAGCGCCGCGCGCGATCCGTTGCACAAGTACCGCGGTGCTGGGACGGGACTCATTCTTTCGCCCATGGTGCTCGCGCATGTACTCGCGACCCTCGGAGTTCTGTTGCATTGTGCACGCGCGGCGCCGGGGTGGCTCGCACTCGCCGCGCCCGATGCGCTGGAACTTGCTGTCACGCTCGGGACGCAACCTGTATCGAGAGATGATGACGACGACGAGACGGGCGATGAGAAGGGTAAAGAGGCGAATGTACTTGCTGCCGCTCTGGAGCTTGCACTAGTCATACTCGATGGTAGCGCGGAGCTTGATGGCGGGCGCACATTAGCGCTTGAACGTACGCCGCTGTTGTTGGCGACGGGGGAGCTTGCGCAGACTGTGTTCGGTGGGCTTGAGAAGGGCTTGAGGGTTAAGGGTGGTGGAGGGAATGCGGAGCAGAGGTTGAGTAGGGCTGCTGCGGGGGTGGTGCTCAAGGTCGATGAGATACAGGAGAAGTGGAAGCGGTCCATGGTTGGTCTTTGAGTAGCGTCTTCTGTAGGGAGTGTCGTGTACTTGAGTTCGATTTGCATCGCATCTGTACTCGTTCTTGTAGAGTAGAATGATGCTGTATCATATGTGATCACGCTTGCTGTAGCAATATGACAGCAGTAGCAATCATCACGTTGAGTCGTATGGTACACCGAAACATGACAAACGTCGCAAATAAGCCAGCCCAAAGCATCATGACAAGTTCATTAACCTCTAGAATGGCGGTCCTACCCCCGGCCTCGCCCTCACAGGTTGCGGTATCTCGATATGCAACCCTCCATATGCATTCCCCTCCTGTGGTCCCGCAGCACTAACCGGCACCAAAAAGTCCGTCTGCCGACTCGGCGAGCGATACGTAGGCGGCGGCATCGCGAACCCAAGCGAGTCAAAGCTAGGCCTCACGAAATCCTCCTCGTACGTATCGTGCACCCCGATAGGGATGCCCGAGATCGGTTGAGGCGAAGGAGGCTCGGGCGACGGTGATGGCGAGCCGATCCGGCCCGGGTAAGCGCGCAGCATGCTCGGCGTCGGCGAGCTTAGACGGAGGTCGAGGTGTACCCAGTCTGTACTGGCCGTGGCTGCCGACATGCGTATCGTGGCGCGGCTCATGCCTCGCTCGATCATGTCGAAGGACATGGGCGAGGTGGGCGTCATTGGTGTATGCGGCATCGCGGCGGGCCACTGCCACGAGCCCACGACAGTGCTCGTCTCGACCTTGCGCTCGGTGTACCCCGAGCTTGACGGATGTGAAGCGTATGCTGTAGATGATGGTGCTGTGGACGACGGCGCAGTGTACGCCGTAGCGGACGTTAACGTTGCGGGCTGCGAGAACGCAGGGCGCGGTTTATCGATGGGCGTTATACGTGGATCGTAAGGGTTCGGAGAGGCGAGTTGCAGCTGGCGAGATGCCAGACGACGACGTTTCATCATGCGGTAGCTAAACGCTGTACCGAGCAACAGTGCGAAGAGCGCTATCACGCCTACGGCGCCTGCTGCGGCGTATGCGCCATTGTTCGAGTGGCCTCCAGATGACGAGCTGGGGGATGAAGCTGGCTGCGAGGTAGCGGTGGGGCTGCATGAGTGTTAGCGCTGTGCGGTTACGGAAGGATGGATGAATAGGCACACCTGCCTGATGCTTGCGAGGGCAGCCTGAGAACGGAGATGTCAGTGCAGTGTTGAGACCGAAGGGGGTGGGCGCTTACCCCGAGGCCGAGCTAGCGAGTGTCGAAGACGAGCTCGCTGCAGTGCTCGTCGGTTCGGGTCTCGTCCCCGTGAGTCCACCAAAAGTGAGAGTCAAGCCAAAGTCCTCAAGGCCTGCCGTATGTGTAGAAGCCAGATTAAAGAAGCGAAAAGAAATAAAGATAAAAAAGAGAAGACCGAGTCGAAGAAAGAAAAGCGGAAAAAGAAGAAGGGGAAGAAGAAAAGGTCGGGGAATACAACTCGGTCACTACCTTTAACTGTTCCTCGGGTATCAACAAAACACATGGGAGGGCTGCTGAGCGGGTCTACGGAATGAGGTCAATTCCTGTACGGCGTTTACGGAAGTGCAAAGCTGAACGGGTAGATCCCAGCGCACATCAGGTTCGGAGATTCGAACACGGCATGTTGGGGTCCACGACGCTCAGCGTTCTCTGGAAGCAGCTCAGGATATACACTACAACCTGAATCGTATATTCAATCTGAAACCTATACTCACCGCGCAATCCGTGACAATTACCTGCTGAGGGCCATTCAGCAATCGCGTAGATGTAGGACAGTGGTCCGAACAGCGTTGACGTTGGCCTTGCCCAAACCGACTGGCAATACAGAGGCTGGGCTTGGAGCATTGGCGTTTCAGAGGATGCATATGGCAACTAGAGTGCACACGGCAGAGCAAGAAGCATTATGTATGAGGTGTTCTGCTGCTACGGCGCAGAGTGTGAACACACTCGGACACCGGCGGAGGACATGGTGGTCGACGTGAAAGCGTCTGACAGTCTTCCAAAGTCGCGGCCTGTCGCGGCCGCAGCTCGGGGCGCTTACGACCGGTACCCATCTTCCCCGCGCCCACCACTGCGCTTCAACCCAAATACACACAGCCCACTCTTTACCGTTTCTGCTCTGCTCTGCGTAGTCTTGGTCAGGCGTCTCAAACAAAATGGCCGTGTCGGACTTGCTCGCCACGGACGACCTGACGATCCTGCTGGGCGTCGTCACTGCGTCTATATTCCTTCTGTCAAACTTGTACAAGCCGCAGTCGCTTGTACATCCTATCCTTCTCGGCCGTCAATCCGATGTATCGCGCGTTCGCAACCCCGGCGAGAGCGCTGTGTATAGGTACTATGGTACCGGTATCATGGGCAGGGTGAGTCTACTTCACCCAACTGCGGATTCGAGCACGCGACTGAATATATGTTGTGTAGTTCCCCATTCGTCCTGCACGCGAGGTCAATACTTTGCTTGACCACGTCAAGCCTGAGATTGACGCGCCGAGGACGCTCTGGTCTACGAAGGTACGTGCCATGTGTATCTAGACGCTCGTGGACCGGAGAACTGATGTCCGTGCGCGAAGATCACCAACTCGGCGCTTCGGGAGCGCGTCGCTCGTTTCGGTACGGGTCTGCGCCGCGCTGGGCTCAAGTCGTCGTCGAACGTACTGCTCTTGCTTAACGATGGAATTGGTACATCTGCTTTACGCATTGCCTCTGAGTACAGCTAACCGAGGTTTTACAGAGTTTCTCATTACCGACCTCGCCCTCGCCGCTCAAAACATCCCCTCTTTCACACTTAGCTCCCAGTCCCTTCTTGCACCTGTACTCGAGGCACACCCGCCAACAGCCATAATCATTGACGCAGGCTTCCTGCCCCACGCGCTTGAGCTTATTCTTGATTCTGCCGAGGCATCGCACCACGTCCTCGTCGTGCTCGGTGAGCCGGACGAGAAGACAGCCAGACGCGCTTCTGAGGGCATACGGCTCGTACGCTGGAGCGACATCGAAGCCGAGGGACAAGGCGAGCTTCTTGGACCGTCCACACCTCCAAGTAAGATGTCACCTCTAGCATCGTCCGAATAAATGGCTGATCATGATGTCATCGTAGCGCCCGAACGCGTCTTCTCTGTCTCGTTCTACCAAGGCGAAGATGGCCAAATGCACGGCGCCCAGCTCACGCACCAAAACCTCACCGCCGGTGTTACAGCCGTCCGCGCACTTGTACCACCGTCTGCGCCGCTCACTGGCCTCGACACGATCGTATCGGCCCACAGTCTGAGCACGCCGTATGGTCGTTCAGTCGCGTACACCGCTCTTCTTGAGGGTTGCTCGTTCGGCACACTCCCGACCTCGCGGGTATTCAAGACGGATGATTCTGTGGCACTTGGGCCGCTCGCGGATCTCGCGGCGGCGAAGAAGTTGAACTTGCCAGCACCAACCGTGTTATTTGTTACGCCGCCGCATCTGGACGCACTTGCCGGCTCAGTACTGGCCGAAGCGAAGAAGAGCCTGTTGTTCCCGCTCGCGTGGAGGCACAAGCTCGCTGCCATCTTCGAGGGTGCGCTCACACGCGAGAGCATGTGGGACAGGCTCGTGCTGAACGATGCCCGTCTGAGCGCCGGCGCCGTGACAGTCCGCGCCGTAATCGCAGCGGGCGGTCGGTTGCCCGCCTCATCGCTTACGCCAGCCCGCGTCGCACTATCCGCTCCGGTCGTCCTCGCCCTCGCACACCCACTATCTACCGCGCCACTCTGCGCCACACACCCTCATGACGTTCAGACGTTCAAGATCGACGATAGCGCCCCTGCTCCTATCGGTCCGCCGGTGTGTAATATCGAAGCGAAGTTGGCGGGTGTGGACGATGCGGCGATTGAGAAGGGCGAGGATCCGGTGGGCACGCTGCTCGTTCGTGGCCCACCCGTTGGCAAGGCGCTCGTTGGTGGCGACGATCCGGCCGTTGAGGAAGCACCTGAGGCGGAGGAACCTTGGGTTGATACGGGCGTTAGGGTGCGCGTGCAGACCAACGGGTCGTTTGTGGTTCTGGATTCTTCGAAGTAAGGGAAAACAAAGCTGATGTTGCTGTTGTGGTATATTCGGACTCTGTGCTGTTATCTTGATTCTGGATGGAATATGCTCTACTTTTGGATAGGCGTACATACATCTCATACGTCGAAAAGCTGTAAAGTATCTCTAGGAGAAATGCTAAACCAAATCGCGATGTTCCACCTTCTCTCCCCTGCCCCGTCTGAGTTGTGTGGCGGGATGACTCGTGTGGGCAGTAGCATTTGGGTGGTTTGATGGTTGCGCACGCACCCATTGTTTGCCGCATCCGGCGATCGACGAGGATCCAGGCACTGCGGGCGAGTGTTCGTTGATTTGGTTGATCGAAGTAACGTGACCCGGTGTATCGTTCGCGACCTTCTCACGGGTGCTTTCCTTAAAGCTCGGGGTATCGTCATTTTGATCTCCACCTACGCCGCGCGCCACGCCCCCCATCTTCCTCGCCACTCACCCTCAGCCCACCACCGTCAATGTCTTCTCCCGCCCCCGAGTCCGCTCCCGCCGCTACCAGCCCCGCCCCCGAGGTTGAGCAGCCCGCCGCTGCCTCGTCTCCTGCCGCCGCTGCTACATCCGACGCCGAGAACCAGCCGCCGAAGCGCTCTGCACGTGCCAAGAAGACCGCCGCTGTCCCCGCTGAGAAGAAGACTACTACTAAGCGCAAGGCTGCCGCTCCCAAGGAGAAGGCCGCACCCAAGGCCAAGGCTGCGCCCAAGGAGAAGAAGACCGTCGCCGCTAAGAAGACTGCTGCTCCCGCTGAGCACCCGCCCTTCAAGGACATCATCAAGGTTTATTTCCCTTTGACTTGTTTCGATGTCGAACATCTGTTAACGTTCGCCTGTAGGAGTGCATTGTCGAGACCAAGGACCGCACTGGTGTGTCCCGCGACGCCATCAAGAAGGTATGTTGTTGCGTTGTGGTTGCTTCCATAATCGTTCCTGATCACGTCATACAGTACGCTGTCGACAAGTACAACATCGACTTGACCGGCACCCGCGTTTCTCAGCTCAACCGCGCCATCACCAAGGGCGCTGAGGAGGGCATCTTCCACCTCCCCAAGGGTCCTTCGGGCAAGGTCAAGCTCCCTCCCAAGAACGCGCCCGCCGCTGACTCGAAAGAGGTACGCGATCTTTGTTTTCTTTCTCTCTTCACCTTCCTTACCCGTGCCATCTTCTAGAACGCTAAGCCTTCGAGCTCCAAGAAGACCACTGAGACCAAGAAGGCGCCGGCGAAGAAGACTACTGCCGCCGCCACCAAGAAGCCTGCCGCTAAGGCCACCACGGCGAAGAAGCCCGCTGCTGCCACCAAGACCGCCGCCGCCAAGAAGCCTGCTGCCAAGGCCCCTGCGAAGAAGGCCGCCGTCACCAAGAAGGCGACCCCGGCGAAGAAGGTCTCGAGCGCGAAGAACGACGCAAAGAAGGTTTGTCTGCTTTCATCCTATACATATCTCGACCTGATCCTGACAATCTTGTAGGAGGCCGCAAAGAAGGCTGCAGCGAAGCCCAAGCCGCGCCAGACCAAGACGGCTGCTAAGGCTGCAGGTACCGCGGGCAAGCGCACATCGGCACGGAAGGCATGAGCGGTCAATCACACCGTTCTTTGTTCGCTCTGTCTGTCGTCGTCGTCGCACATCTGCTAGCTCTCTGTACACTTACCTACAACTACCTATCCCCCCATCCCATCCACCGTTTCGTCGTTGTCTATAGTCATACCTTCTCCCATCTCGCCTCGTTGTATGTTATACGAGTATTATTTCCACATGTCTCCCAGCCTTCCCCCTCGTACCGCGTTCTCCCGTTTCTCGTCTTTTTTTCTCGGTTGTGTATTCTTGATGTTTGGGCGGCGTATACGGACCGCTCACTGGGTTTTGAATGCATCGAAATTGTAGAAACCGCTTGTTGGTGTGAACGCCTGTGGAGTCTGAGATCGAGCGCGAGCATGGGGCGGGCGAGATGCCGCCGGCCATTGAGGCGCTTGGGCTTGTGGCGCGGACCGTCCGGCGCGTCGCTACGCGTGACGTCACGCGCCTGCTTCAATCAACGAGCGCCTCCGAGTCTCCGACGGACGCGAAGTCCGACTCTTGCCTTCCACTATCACCAGGATGACCAAGATACCGTTCCATCCCGGGCATGTATTTACACATACGCTTCATACATGATGCGGGAGGTATTATATCACACTGGAGCACTGGCATTGCTGGTATTCGACATATAGTACGCGATAAGACTACCTCAAGATGTCCTCCGACAAAACCACCATCTTCATCACCGGCGCGACGGGCTACATCGGCGGCGCATGTCTCAATCTGCTGCTCAAAGACCCCTCCTTCGGACTTTCTGCGTTGGTACGCGACGCGGGCAAGGCGGAGAAGCTGACTGCGCTCGGTGTATCGCCTGTTATTGGCTCGCTAGACGACGCTGCTGTGCTCATCGCTAGTGCTGCTGATGCCGACGTGGTACTCCATACTGTAGGATGCCCTCCCTGGCGAGAGTGCATGAAGCTGATCTCAACGTTTGTAGGCTCACGCGGACCATTATCCCGCTATTCTAGATATCCTGAAGGGGATGCGCCATCGCTTCGAGAAGACCGGCAAGCAGGGTATATTGATCCACACCGTGAGCTCTGTATACTACGTGAATCTCTTCCACGCTGATCGACTATATAAACAGTCTGGCACAGGAGTGCTTGCTGACGACGCGAAAGGCATGCACGACGATCATATCACGTACGACGACAGCAACGTTGAGAGCATCGAGTCTCTTCCTCCGGACGCTGTTCACCGGAAGGTAGATGTTGAGATTGTCAAGGCTGATCAAGAAGGTAATGGCCTTGCTATTCCACGATTCGAAGACCATACGCTAATCGCGAATGTGCAGGCTATATACGCAGCTTCATCGTGCTCCCCTCCACGATCTGGGGGATCCTGACTGGGCCCGTCGCGGAAGCCGGCATCGCGCACGTCCATTCTCGCCAGATCCCGGAAGCGATAGTGATAGGCATGAAGCGTGGCCAGGGCGGAATGGTGGGCAAAGGTCTGAACGTCTGGCCGCATGTCGAGATCCACGAGCGTGCGTTCACAGCCCAATCTCTGAGCGCTCCTTCATACTGAGGATCTTGCCGATTGTGTTACAGTGGCCGAGATGTACATCATCATACTCTGCGCGGCACTCGATGGTACAGCACCGCACGGCCGCCAAGGCTTCTACTTTGGCGCCAGCGGGCACTACCGTCTTCTCGACGCAGCAAAAGTGTATACCTCTGCACTCCACGCGCTCGGAAAGAGCGCATCTCCCGAGCCTACGGCGTACACGAAAGAGGACATCGACAAGTACCTAGGCGGAAACGACTACCTCGGTTCCAACTCGAGATGCAGGGTCGTGCGCGCAAAAGAGCTCGGATGGAACCCGACGAAGACGACGGACGATTTCTTCGAGTTCATTCCGAAAGAGGTCGAGGTGATTGTTAGGGATCCGTTTAGGTCTCGTAAGTACTAGTCAGTTGATCTTGAGCGGCATGCGATATAAGTACTGCTTCATATGGGAATTTAAACCGATGCAGGGACTGAGACAGCCGGCAAGACGTCGTTCAGTGCGGTCTGCGCCCGTCGGATCGCGGCGATGGCGTGTATCTTTGGGTATGACTAGTCTTCCCGCCAGCCTCTGGCCAAACCTACAGCCACAGCTCGCAATACACCTTCTGACCCTCCCATCGCCTCCTCTCAAGCTTCAGCATACGTCAAGATGGCAGCACGGGCCTCCGAGATTGTATGACGGGCGCTTACACGCGGAACCGATTTAACGTTGCTTCCCGCCAACGGACTCGAAGTCCGACTCTTACCTTCCACCACCACTGGCACGACCCGACTCCACTGATAACCGATAACCGAGATACCATTCTACTCCGAGCGTATGTTTGCGCGTACGCTTCGCCCATGACGCGGTGGCGTATACTTATCACGAAGCTGGTGTCGCTGGCCTTGAACATACAATATGCGTACATCACGATGTCCTCCGGCAAGACCACCATATCTATCGCTGTTGCGACGGGCTACGTTGTCGGCAAATGCATTATTCCATCACTCAAAGGCCCGTCGTCTAGAACTACCGCGTTGGTACGCGCCACCGGCAAGGCGGAGAAGCTGGACATGCTTGGCCTTCGCTGGGTCTACATTACCCACGAACGTCGAGCGGTGACAATCCCAGCTCCTAAACACTGGTGCAAACACTTCTGTGCTTGAGTGCCGTTCCAGTCGTGTAGCGAAAGCACGCTGCTCGCCGTCGAGGCCCTAGCGATCTCGGTTCTGCGTAGAGTCTCGAGATACAGAAGCTGTCCTACTGATTAAGGAAAGCGTGAATATTACGTGCACAATGCTCTGGGGCCTAAAGCCCTGGCGCCGAGAACGGCCTCGTTAGATCGTCGAATATAATTTCGATTGTGGTTAAACCACACAAAAAAAATCGAGCTCGTTCTCAGTGAAGTCCGATGCGCACTCGGCGCGGCGTGAGAATTGCCGGGCCACACAAACGCGCTCACATGCTTTGTTTCGCCACGCGAGCAAACCGCGACGCGCTCCTGGTGCTGGTCGACCAGATCTATCGAGTTAGACGTCAGCCGTGGGCTCAGTCGCAGTACGAGAGTAGTGATCGAAGCGCCCTGGGCCTCCGGGAACTTGGCGTGATGCTGCGTCGCAATGAGGCGTACACGAGTTGAACCACTCTCGTGACTTTTTTAATTTCAAAACTTGTGTGGTTGATGGCGGACTTCAGAAAATGGAAGGAGAAAAATTAGCCGAGAGTGTGACTCAGATACTACGTAAATAATAGGTACTGCATTGGAAATCGAGCCGCTGAATCGCTGAGATTTGAATGCTACCAATGCTTGGGTGCGATCTTGACGCCTTTGGCTTGGCCATTTGTCGAATCGGAGTCACAAAAAACTGGCGTACCTCTTCTTTATGAGATACAACGTAACTTGCATGAGCTGTGCGATTTGATATGGCCACCGATCATCCGATTATCTGTGCGCAGAGCCCAGAGCGCGCATCCAACCGCGCTTGCCGAGCGCAGATCCAAACCAAACCGGAGTTTTTCGAGAATGGCGATGATCTGATCTTATCGCTGCGCGCATTTCAGGTGCAATATATAAGGGAAGGCCGCAATGGGCACTGTTTTTCTAACACACCCCGCCCGTGCCCGACTACTGCGTACTCTATCGAAGGAGTATATAACTTCGCGCACGCGCCGCACAGAATCATTCCTCATCCCCTCATCCTCTCTCGCACT